CAATAAAGGAATCATCTAAAAAGTATGACCCTTTTCTACCCATGTTGGGTACATGGTTTATGGGGGATGTGAGTTGTTAGAACTCTCCCCCATATCGGTGCTCAATACTAGTCTCAAAATATAACTTAGTTCATTATGTTTTAAAGAAAAAATTTCTTCTTCCTCAACTTTGAGATTATTACTTAAAAGGTTTCTCTAAAAAGAGATAGTACTGAAAATTGTTCATGAACTCTTTGGAAATCGACGTTTTCTCTCATCTTAAATGTAAAAATATTTACTCTTGGTAATACTTAGTTCCCATATTTAATTTTAAATAAAATGAACTTAGCTCTAATCTTTCTCAACTCAATGCTCAAGTCATTTAAAACAATTTGTAAAGCCTTCTTAAAATGACTCGAAGAACTTTCAAGACTTGACAATTAGCTCTACCTTGAATTTGAATTTATGGATTCAAGGTTATGATTCATGTTCATGAATGATTTCTAGATGTTTAGAAGTAGTTTAGAGTAGTTAGAATCAATAGGGAGTAAGGTATACTTTAGGAGAACTTAGACAAGTAAAACGATGGAAAAGGATGGGGGCAGGTGACCCTGGCGCGGGGTGCCAACCCCAAAAGTTCAGGACCCATTTATGGCGCATCTGGGGCGCGCCATCTCAGCCCCTCCCCAGGTAATTCCAATGAATTTTTCTACTTGTTTTCTGACCTTAATTCGACTAGAATCGAATGGTTTCTTTCTCAATCACTTAGAATCAAATACCCAACATATGTACACGATAATCTACTCGAAACAATCCTCAAAACACTAACAGTTATCTCAAGAACTCATCGAAATCCCAACAATCAAGATTATGAAAGGTATTCCAAGAAAACTAACAAGAACTCAAATCCTTCAACTTTAAGAATGAATTTGCGCTGAAAATAACATGATTGGCGTGTGGGTGAACGAACCCAATACTATGAGAATGCACATACCTCTTAGGGATCAAACCCTTGGCGAAAATCCACAAGAAAACCTCAAGAACTTAACAAACGCTTAAATCTTCTCCTCTTTTCTTCTCTTTTCATTTCTTGAACTTTTTTCTAAACCCTAAGCGTATTTTGATTTAGAAAAACTGAACCAAATAAGTTTAGACCCCTATTTAATTACAAAAAATGCTTAAATCTGAAAGAGTAAGGAAAAGACCAAAATACCCCTCATGTTTTTGGGTAACTTTACTTAATTGAACAACCTGACTTCAAACAATCATATCTCCCTCATACGAGCTCAAAAATTAGCAAACTTGGTGGCGTTGGAAAGAGGATTCCAAGACCTTTCATTTGATAACTCATTATGTACATAAAATTTTGGTCGTTTGAAGTTAACCCAAAACCCATAACTTAGGCCTAACTTGCAAATTTTCAAATTTGGCTATTTCCAATTTAGTTCTTTCTATTTTTAGCTCTTTCAAATACCGAGGTGTTACAACACTTTTCAAGCGTAGTCTAGAATAAGTGTGGCCTTATGCCTTACAAGTACATTTTACGAGTTTAGAAACGCTATATAACACACACAACTAACTTAAATTTTAAATTGAAGTGCTTAAATTTTTTTTGTTTGTTAAATATGAGTTAGACGGTAAGTATTTTCATATTGTTAATTATAGTGAATGTCTATTATTAAGCATGACTTTATTAGGAAATATACATAATTGAACAAGAGCAAATTTAGAAAATATACAAACACAATAAAAAAAATATTTACCTCAGAAACTATCATCAATTTACATATTAACTTACTAAAACATATGTTACAAAAGAATGACACAATAATATTTTTTTTCAATAATCTAATAACATAAATCTAACTAAAAAAATGTCATATGTAGTTACTATCTTTACACATAGACTAACAATAAAATGAACCAAAAAAAGAAATTTAATTAATATTAAATGATTTTTGTTCAAATCTACCAAATTAGGAAACATCATAAATATTTTTACTTTTTTGTCATTTGAGTTCATTTTCAACAGATACTATGATGATTCTATCGCTATAAATACAACTTTAGAAGAGAAACACAACACATTTTCTTACATTCTCAAAATAGAAGTTTAGACATGAGAAGACCTAATGGCCAAAAAAAAGTTGAAATGGTGAGGATGCAAAATCAAAGCAATTTACAAGTAACATTATCAAAACGACGCGATGGAGTCTTTAAAAAGGCAACTGAGCTCTCCACTTTGTGTGGTGCTGATGTTGTCGTTGTAGTTTTTTCGCCTAACAATAAACCATATTCATGTGGGCACACTTATGTTTTTTGAATGTCTCGACTTTCTTTCTCAAACCACCGGACAGGGGTGCGGAAATAGCAACAATTCATGGTAGAGCGGAAATAGCTTCTGATTTTATTTCGCCTGAAACGAATCCCTCGCTTTGAGTCTATTATGAATGAAGGGTCATCTGCCAATGAATAGAATTTTCTTGCTTTATTCAAATTCAATCACTTAATTTGATACTTATAGAGTTAAGTTTTTCATATTAATGATTATATTTAATTTATCTTTGATTTTAATTCTATCTTTCAGTATCTTTATCATGGAATAAAATGGGCTTTTATTTAGTACTTTCTTCGCTTTAATTTATTTTCTTGTTTCTTTGTCCTTCTAAAAAGGGATGTCCTTTTTCCTTTTTGGTAACTCTTAGTTTTTAATTTTCACATTCCATGTTTAAGAACAAAAGAATCAAGAGAACCATGATGCATTTTACATATCTTCAATTTAAAATTACAAGATTCAAAAATCTTGATTATTTTCATTAATTACGTGCCAAGCAAAAATTAGACGAATAATTAAAATGAAGGGAGTTAGTGGTAATTTATCATTTGTTAATATTGACATTGAAGTATAAGTCTAAAGCACAAGTAGTAAAAGATTATTGAATAAGACATTGAAACTCATGTCAAGTAGCTTAAAGTGCAACATCTAGTTTAAAATAAATTAAGTTCTTATGGAGTATCACGTGTATCTATATCTATATATTATAAATAATGTTACTTTATATATATTGACCGGTAAAGTAGCTGACCACCTTACTTGTACTTATTCATATTGATAAATATTTAATATTTTTATTGTTAATAGAAGGCCACTAGACATACTATCTAGTGTTATATATTGATCAAAAGTAAAAATCAATAAATATATCATAACACTTTTAAAGGTCGTTTGGTATAAAGATGCATAATGCATGGATTATTAATGTATGGATTAGTAATGCAGGGATTAGTAATGCAGGGTTTAGTAATGCATGGATTAGTTTTTATCAAGTGTTTGGTTCATTGTTTCCCATTTAATCTTATGTTTGGTTTAAAATTCTAGAAAAAGTTTCTTTCCTATTATACCCTTGAATTATTATGAGATTTTATATTTCATTTAATTTTTCAAGTTAAATACTAAAATATATTTTAAAAATTATTATTAATTTTGAGGTGTGATATGCCACCATAGAGATCCTTGATAGCACGGTATATTTCTAATTTTTTATTGGTCAAATATACCTTACACTTAACATAGATTTAAGGCTACTTAAATTGTTCCTCTATTCAATTTGCTACCTTGAAGACTATCATTGTCAACAATATCCTGGCCTATTTTCTTCGTAATCAATATTGATTTTCAAAAAATGTTTTTGCTATGATTTGCTAATCTGTAATTGGGCATAAGCTCACAGGCTTATTTTTGCTACTATAATCTATCTCATGTGAATTACTTAGTATATTTGATTACTTATTTTTTCCTATTGTGTAACTTGGTTGGTTACTATCTCATGTATGTATGTGTTTTTGCTCTGCTTTGTATATGCTTTTTTCCTTTTTGCTGATGTCAAGGGGGGATAAAGTTCAAATAAGAAAGATATCAAAATAACTAATATTAGTCTTAACAGAGAAGATCTCAAAAAGAGGAGCTATTCTTGAACTCAGCAAATCAAGGAGAATTTCAAAGTCACAAAAATTCAAGTTCCTTTTAATCTCTATTCTACTTTTAGCAAGCATTGTATTTCTGAGTGAATTATTCTGTAAGCAACAAAAAAAAAAATTAATATGGTGAGCCTCTGTATGAAAAGATTAAAAAAAAAAAGAGAAAGAATTGAGTGTAGATTTATGATTCAATCATCAACGCAATGTACAACTACAAATCACTCAAGAATTATAAGAGAACACTCTTGCAACCTCAAGGGACTAGACTAAGATCCATTTTGGATCTCAGCCAATATAAAAACATTTGGTATTAAATTTCATTTCTGCACTTTACTTATTAACTTAATTGTTTATTGTTTTTGTGTTTACTAGTTGATTGCTAAAACAATTAGTTGACTAAGAATATTAAAAAGGGTCAATTCACCACGACCCATCTTGCACTTTCAGCTTCTACCCCCACCTCTTATAGTGCTTGCGTAGATCATAAACAATATTTTTAACTAGATATTCTCTATTTACTTACGAAATATAAAAAAAATAATTAAAAATCACTTATTTTTTTGCGAAAAACATTTTCATTCGTATCAAAAGTCTCAAAACAAATTCCCACTTCGTCCCATATTAGTTATCATAAATAAGAAGGATAGTTTTACTGATTTAATTGTTATTTTTTTTAAAACTTAACAAATTTATCGACACTTTCAAAATGAATTAAATGTAAAAATAAAAAAAATGATAAAAATTTAATTAATTCTATCTTAATTTTATAAACTAACAAGTATTTTAAGACTGTGTAAACAACTTATATGGGACAATCATGTTGGGGTTTTTGAAATGTTGACTTTCAAACTTGGCTCTTTTGCCTCTTTCTCAAACATGCATTTTGCCAAACTCCACTTTTCATTGGTATAATACCTAATGTGACATAACAAACGACATCGTTTAAGATGACACTTCTTCTTAGTCAACAACAGAGATATTTCCTCTCTAAGCCAATTTTTGGTGCCCATTTGGAGATTTAAACAAACAATATATATATTTAAGAGCTCTCTTCTTTTCCAAATAAAGAAATATATGTTGTAAAAAATTTACTAATATTTTAAATCATATGTGTTTAGTTGTTTTATTTTCATACAAATTGAGGAGTTGACAAACCTTTGTTTGGATGAATCCAAGGTAACTGAGTGATTCCTCTGTCTCTGTGTCTTCAGATATATCATGTATGTATATAATTTCATAATGGGTCAATTTTATTTTTCTCTTATTCCTTAAAGATTCTTACTTTCTTGACTTTTTCTTGATTCTTGATTGATAAATGAGAAGACCCGTGTTCTTGTTCTTTCTATCATTGGGTATGACAAACTATGCAAGAAAGAGTGTATCTTTTTTTCCCCACTAATGATTCAACTTAACCCTGTTGTTTCTTTCTTGGTCTAGCTGTATATTTGAGATGATTGATGCATTATGCATAATATAAGTTGCAAGAAAAAAAGAACAGATTTTGAGAAGGAAAATTAACTGCGACTGTGTGATTTTCTGTCTGTTACATCACTGTTTGTATTGCATCATATTCAGCTGAGGGGAAACAAGGGTAGTACCATTTTGCTTGTTTGAATGTCAAAGAAATTCTTTAGTAAGTTTTTTAGTTTGAGTCTAATTTGTGAAGCAGGAAATAAGGCAACAGAAATTTTTTTGGCTTCATTTTACTTTAACTTGGTTTGAGTAAGTTGGTTGTTAGAGTTTGAGTATATCTTTGCTGCATCGCTTTCGTGCTAATAAATGGTAGATAGTGTTAATCTTTATGAGGTTAATAGACTGATATTGTACATAGATTGGGGCTAAGCAACCATTTCCTGATTCGAAGTTTAGCATGGACCTTCTTTAATTGTTTTGGCTAATGTTTAAGAATGTTATTGGCTGGAATAGTGCACTCTGGGTTCTGTTCAATAATTCTTAGTAGCAAAGGAAGTTAATCTTAGTTCCTTCATGTTAAATCTCACTGAATTTGATTTTAAGTTGCATTATGATATTTATGCTCTAGATCTGCGGTATCCAATATTTTATGCTTCGTGTATGATGAATTCTTATGGTTGATGTCTAAGTTGCAGCTCTCTCTGCCACTTTATTGAAGCTTATAGCTTTAATCATTTTCTTTTTAATTGAAGAAGTTTACCTGTGGCTGCCTCTCTGGATGCTCCTGATCCAGTTTTGGAAAGGGTTCTTATAGAGGACACTAAAAATAGTAGCCACGGCGGGGAGAGGAACTTCTTAGCTCATCAACCAATTTTGCTGGATCAGGTCTCCAAATCTTTCAGAGGAGAAGTAGTGAGCAGGTGCACTCAACTGATAATCTTCCTTTGTCTACATTTCGATTGTCTTTCATCCTCATCCTTAAAACTTAAAGGGGATTATTTCTTGTTGGTGGAGCTTGTTAATGATCCTTGGTGATAAGTTAATTTCTTGTTGGTGGAGCTGTTAATACTGTTTAGTGCTAATAAATTTCATTTCAACTTGGTAGTAATTTAACAGATAAGATAGCTGCTACTTTCTCTAGGTCTCTTGGAGTTTCAACTGATTTTACAACATACCTACTACATGAAGATTTATATTTTTTATATGTCGCTATACATGGGCTTCAAATTATGGGAACTATAGTCCTTCTACCTCGTGCCTCACCTTTCAAAGATGGTGTATCTTTTCCTTCTTCCTTGCAGTGGTGGCTGCAAACATTGTTTTCTACTTTGGATACAAGTCTTCATTTTGCATTATGTTCTTGAAATGCTGGATGTAGAATTGGAGCTTTCACTAATATGTTTCCTAGTAACTTCATGTGTATAAATTGCCTAAGGAACTGCATGTCTTAATGTTTGCATTCTGTTCTCTTAGTCTGTTTTTCTTCAATCAATGTTTGAAATTTCAAATGTGTGGAAGCATAATTAAGTAATCAAACGTGTGTTCTCTCTAACAACTTATGCTTTAAGATGAGATGGTCACACACTACAATATGGTATCAGAGTAGACAAGAGATCCTGGATTTGAGTATCCCCATCACCCATTATTATCATAAACAATTTCAACGAACTGGGACCATGAAAAGGGTCCGCAGATGAGAGGCGTTTTGAATCATAATTAAGTAATTAAATGTGTGTTCTCTCTAACAACTTAGGCTTTTAGATGAGATGGTCACACATTAAAAAAAAAATGTTTTATTCTGTGTTTCTACAGAATGTACATTGCAGTATATGTTCTTTTGTGGTTCTAACTGAACTTTTGAATATATGTGTACCTGCGTTGTTGCTTTAAAAGCCATTTTGGTCAGTAACTGAATGCCAAGAGAAATAGTATAATATTTTGCAGGGATTGAAGTGGAAATAAGAGTTGTAGTATCTTTCTTTGCTCTCTTTTTTCTTTTGGTGGAAAGAGGATAGTAGGGAAAAAAACATTTTCATGCTGTTTTAGCTCTCATCGGATCTGCAGATTCTAAGTGGTCCATTCTATGTGATTAAGTATATGTTGTGTCTCTGAATTACAGCTTAATGATGACTAGGTTTTCTCCTTAACTTGAGTTTCCTTTTTGCAGTACTAGGGACTCTATTAGGCAGTTGCCATTGGTTTTATCCGTCTGTTGTTTGTTTTCATGGTCATGTCACTAGTTTTTGACTTAACATGTCTCTAGCAGATCATCTAAAAACAATGGGCATGCCAATGAGAAGAAAATTTAAAAGTTACTGTGCTGATGTTATTTGTTTATGATTGCCTTCAGATCTTTTTCCATGAAGGCTGCAAATAGAAACGATGAAAATTTGGAAAATGGGATGTTGGAGAATGACATAGAGAAGTCAGTACGCAGCAATAAAGTTGTTACAGTACACAACAAGGCCTTGCTATCTGGAGTCGCTTATTGTATTTCTTCCTGTAGCATGATATTAGTGAACAAGTATGTACTTTCCAGCTATGGCTTTAATGCGGGGATATCATTGATGGTCTATCAGGTACTTCCCAGTCTTTGTTATACTTTTGAGCTTATCAAGGTATAGAGGTAGGGTAATGACAAATAATTGTTGACCCTTTATTCAGAATTTTGTCTCAGTGGTGGTGGTTTCTTCCTTGAGAGTTTTTGGGATAATTACTACGGAACCACTCACTTGGAGGCTAGTCAGAGTTTGGTTGCCTGTTAATGTTATATTTGTTGGGATGCTTATAACAAGTATGTTCAGGTAAAAGATACTCCCTCTTCATGTTTGTCGTACCATGAATTTCATTATTTGAATGTTCCTATTGTTTTATTTACTACTGGTTGCAGAAGTCATGCATTGCACCTATTATTGTTGGATGCACAGTTCTCTGAGATCAGTTTTTCGGTGTGATCGAGTTCAGCTGGGCCTTTATGCAAGATTATATTTATTGGGAGTAACAGATTTCTGGTTCAAACCTTCATGCAAGTGTTAGTTTTACTACTTCAAATTTTAAGGCCACGCTAGGTGTTCAAATGGTTTCTTTATTTGGGACGGTTCTTGATCCAAAATAGAAGGAAATTTTTGTCTAATTTGATGAAATAGAAACAAAATGGAAATGTGAATTCTCTGGAACAAGCTCTAGAATTAGAGGCATATATCTTTAGGGTTAATCTTTGTCTCATTCTTACTTGTTGACCTTGTCTTTTGCTGAGTAAGAAATTCTGAATATAGATTTCTTTCAGTAAATGCTGTTAGGTTCACCTTTTTGGGAATATTTTTTAAAAAAATTCTTTCAGTAAAAGAAGTCATCCTTATCAAACTAGTGAACTTGATTTGTGTAGAAGATTTTTTTAACTCAGTCTAGTGTTCCCTTTTTTCCAAGACATCAAACAATAGAAGAGACTATTTTTGGAGTCACTTAGAGGAATACGCCTGGATTGATGAAATGAAAAGTTGATAGGCTCATCATCATCACATGATTCTTGGAACTCGACTTGTAGTCAATAACATTTACAATAAAATGTCTCCTTTTTCTTTGGCCTTGCCTTCCACACATCAATACAGAGCAACTCTTTGGCTCTACCCTGCTGAGTTTACTTTAGATGAAACAAAAGATGCTTATGATGTAGGTAATGATTCATGAACCTTAGAATTTGATTACACTACATGTCAAAAGTAGAAAAGGGTACAAAATAATGAAAATTATATATTAAAAAAAGGTATTTTAGTTTCAAGTACAGCTATTTGTGTTCTTTCTGCTTTACCATTTTCATTGCCAATTTCAGTACTCTGGCATTTTATATCCATACGATTCTGCAGATTAATGAATTTTTTAGCATAGAATCTGTTTTAGTGTTTAATAATTATAGCTGTGATTCTATGACTTGGCTGAATTACTTATAATTGTGTTATATCCTACAGTCTTAAGTACATCAACGTTGCTATGGTCACTGTCCTAAAGAATGTCACTAATGTGATAACTGCTGTTGGAGAGATGTATTTATTCAACAAAACGCATGATAACAAAGTTTGGACTGCACTTTTTCTGATGGTATGATAGTAGCTTAAAAAGAATTTTTCTTCACTGTTTTCTCTTAGTAATATCTATACATTCAATTTGTTCAGCAATTAGAAATAAATAGTAGTAGCTCTGCTCTTTCCATTTGCCCTTGATAGCACCACAACTACTATCCTGGTATGTTTTTTGGGTGTGAGAGAGAGCAAGATAGCATGCATCAACTTGTCTGCAGTTGGTGAATGACAGTTATTACTCTAGGCTTTACATTATCTTCTTTTCACTTGACATAATACTCTGCTGTTATTTCGTTTTTGTTTTTCTTCTCTGTGTCATTAACACAACACTCTAAAAATAACTAGTACAACAGGATCGGAACTGTCTACTAATTTATTTTTTTCCAAATCTGCATCATATACATTACTTGTTCGTGTGTTAAGCACCGCATAAAGTTCAAGTGAAGTATGTAAATACGAAGTGTTACAGGTCAAGCAAATGCTACTCTATATTGCTTTTGATATTATTGCAGTGATTCTAGCCTCTCTCACCCCTGTGCTCATATAAAGTAATTTGTTAATGATATGTTTCGTTGCTTTGTATTCCAGAACTTACATTAGCATTCTTTTTTACCTTTCTTGTCACAATAAGAGTTTATAGCGCTACTGATTTTTCAGTAGACACTACTCAGAGTATTCGCTAGTAACCTAGTCCTCAGTCAAAGGCATGATGAATTTCATGAGGCGACCAAGTGGTATAAGCTGTATTGAGAGAAAATGCAACATATGATAAGGAATAGTATCATCTTCGTTTTCGAGATTTACTTCTTATAACAGTGGTACTTTCTGGTAACTAGTGATATGAGTAGTTTTGTCATATAATACAAAAGTATTTGGAAGTTGGTCATGAACCCTAAATTCATCAAGTCTTACATCATTTGACTAAAGTTGCATATACTAGAACTAAATTTGAAATATTGTTCATTTATGAGATGACAGTTGTAGAGATGTTACACTTAAGTTGTGTTTGCGGATTATTTCAGTAGTTACTTACACTTAAGTTGTGTTTTGCAGATTATTTCAGCAGTTACCGGAGGAATTACTGATCTTTCTTTTCATGCCATTGGTTATACATGGCAGATCATTAATTGTTTCTTGACAGCATCATATTCTGTAAGTATATCTTTCTCTCGTTGTGTTTCCTTTTCTGGGTGCTATTTTATCTGGCATTTGTTTCTTCTGGGAATATTATCTTTGTAAAATTCATGATTTTCGTTATTGTTGTCAGACATATGAACTTAAGATAGAAGATATAGCTTAATCATACAACAACATATCCAGTGTAGTCCCACAACTGGGGTTTAGGAAGGATAATGTGTGTGCAGACCTTACCCTTATGTTGGAAGGTATGAACGTTGTTTCCAATAGACCTGCGGCTTGGATACTACTCAAAACAAAGGATAAAAATGAATAAACTACCTAAACATTTGTCAAAGATGATGACCTTTACCGGCAGTAATAAAGGCGCCAAAATATTCTAATAGAATTGGACATAACCATTGCAGAGTACATATAATACAGTTTTTGTGTGTCCACCATAACATTGACCTAGATCATCAAGAATTAGATCTTGTTTTCCAACTATTTCATTGAGTCAAAAAGTTCTAACCTAATTCCAGTATTATCAGAAGCAAAAAGCTCACCAACATAGGTTGTGGTGCAGTGATGTAAGTGCTCCATCCTTAATCAGAGGTCTCAGGTTAGAGCCCTGGGTATGAAGAAAATCTTGTTGGGAGCGTCACCCCTAATGGACCATGCAGTGCGCGATTGGATTTAGTCGCAGCTCCAATGTAGGCATTAGACACTGGATGGGAAACAAAAAAATGAAGCAAGTAATGCAAAAGAATTCTAAGGTCTGTTGGGGTTTTAAGCACAAATAAAGCATGGGTTTTAATTAGAAAAGGCACAAAGGGAAAAATAAATACATATATGTTATGAAACATAGACTGTATACTAAAATTAAATAGCAAGAAGAAAGAGAGAGAGTAGTAGTAACTTTCTTCCAATATTCTTGTGTATATTGCATATACAATGTAAGTTATTTATAAGTCTCAAGTAACTTGGAAAGCCAATTTTACTAGGAAAAATTGTGGGTAAAAGTCCTAGTGAAGAAAAAGATACAGGTATCTAGTAATATGCATTGAGAGTTGCCTCATTAAATATCTTACCAGGAACATCCAGTGAGACAAAACATTGGTTAAGGAAAAAAGAGTGCAACACGTATTTACTCCCCCTGATGAAAGCATCACTTAATATCTCGAAGATGAGACGCATTTCAATCTTGTATCTGAACTTCTCAAAGGTTGAAAGCGGCAATGTCTTAGTGAACATATCTGCTAAATTATTACTTGAACGAACTTGTTGAACATCTATATCACCCTTCTTTTGAAGATCATGAGTAAAAAAAAAAAAAAATGGTGAAATATGTTTTGTTCAGTCTCCTTTGATGTATTTTCCTCTTAGTTAAGCTATATATGCAACATTGTTTTCATATAATAATGTTGGAGTATCTCTTTCCAAAGGAAGACCATATGTTCCTCAGATGTGTTGGATTATTGATCTCAACCAAACGTATTTTCAACTGCTTTATGAATGACTATTATATCTACATGATTTGAAGTAGCAACTGTAGTTTGTTTTGTTCAATGCCATGATATAGTTGTACCTTCACATATAAATAAATAACATGTCTAAGAGCAGTGTTTATGTGGGTCAAAAATATATCCTATATCTACTTAACCTATTCATCGTGATTCGGACTCTTTTAAATAAAAGAGGCCCCTATCAATGACCTTATTTTAGACCCATAAAAGAAATTCAGGTATCTAGTAATACGCATTGAGAGCTACCTAGTAAGGTTTTTAATGAGGTAGCTCTCAATGCATATTACTAGATACCTGAATTTCTTTTCTTCAATAGGACGTTTTCCCGCAAGATTTTTTCTAGTAAGAATTCAACTAGACACACTATCTATTAATGGACATCCAAGGGGGAGTCCATGTCCATAAGCACTAGTATTTGGTGGATGTCCATGTCCATTTGCACTAGTTAATTTGGCTGTCCAAGTTACTTGAGACTTATAAATAACTTACGTTGTATATAGAAATATAAAAAAGAATTTTGGAAGAAGGTTACTACTGCTCTCTCTTTCTTCTTGCTACTCCCTTTGTCCCAATTTATATGACTTTCTTTTCTTTTTAGTTAGTCCCAAAAAGAATGACATACTTATATAGTTAGTAACAATCTAACTTTAAAATATCCATTTTATCCTTAACGAAATGATTTATAGCCACACAAACATCTATGACTTATTTTAGACCACAAATTTCAAACGTCGTTTTTTCTTTCTTAAACTCTATGTCAAGTCAAACTAACTCACATAACTTGGGACGGAGGGAGTATTTAATTTTAGTATACCATCTATATTTTATAATACGTTATCTGCACAAGGCTTGCTTTAGGGCTTAAGCGCGCCTTTGACAACACCGCCTAGTTCTTAAAATGCCTCAACCATAGCATCGGCCCAGTTCACCGAGAAAGCCCAGTTAAGCGGCTACTGGAAATATAAAATTAGAGATTTTTCTCGTGTTAATAGCTTAAAAGAATTCAGCTCACAGGTGAGACGTGAGAGGGCATGTTGAAGACATTATTGATTTGATAGATCACTGTCCTGAGTGTTGTTTGTAACAAATTCAGCTTCTAATGAAGTAGAACTACATAGTTTAGATTTCACTGATATATCTCAAATTTATATGTGTGGTCCTATACACCAATGTGATGCTGAAGAGATCTGACAGGAACATATCGGCTTGTAAACTAATAGGGTGTGTTTGGTATGAAGGAAAATGTTTTCCTGGAAAATGTTTTCTTGGAAAACAAGTTGATTTTTAACTTGTTTTCTTATGTTTGGTTAGTGAGTGGAAAACATTTTCCGGAAAACAATTTCCAGTGTTTGGTTGGTGAGTAAGGAAAATAATTTCTATGCTCTTTCACCCCCAACCCCTCCCCACTATGTATCGAACTGTCGTTTTAATCAAAAAATAACTTGAAAACAGCGTGTCATACATTAGTACATGCTTCTAGCTAACACTATACAGTTGAGACTTGAAGTTTTTCACATTATTGTGCACAGTTGCTCATCTCTGTACACCACACACATATTTCAACTGTGCATAGTACAAACAGTAAGTTGTACAAACATATCATATCATAATAATCTAATTATGAATACTTAGTTCAATAACACCATTAAATCAACAAACTAACAATTTGTAAACATGTAAAACAACTCTGCCTCAAGCACACAAATCAAATTCAAGCAAAAAGATATCAAGTCCTCTAATAGTAGTACTCTATATAGTTATGTTCTTCCGATTCACTTCTATATTCTATTTATGTTGTCACTTGAACCTTTCCAACCACACCTTACGGAGATTTTGATTTTTAGCCATGAATCCCTTAGCTAAAGTATCATTTTGTACCAAATAGTCAAAAGCATCCCCTAAGAACTCTTCCCCATAACCTTCAATTGCCATAACTTCTTCATACAACCTTGTCACATCTAATCGGCTATCAGCTATCTTACTTATTGCCGCTGCCACTTCTCCAAGTTTTGTTGAAATATCACCGACCACATCTTGCACATCAGAAGGACGATTTCTTTTACGACTTGACTTGACTTGAGAAGTTTCACTCACATCTTGCACTCCATTCTCCTTAGATGGTCCTTCAATCTCATCTTCATTACCTTTCTCCGAACTACAATCCAAGTCTATATCTTCAAATGACTTAGCACAATCACCCCTAGCTCGATCATTCCCACAGACAAGAGACATTTCTTCAAACATATCAATCTTCTTGGTTGATGAACTTATCATGACTAGGATACGCCTACAATATAAATGACAAAAATATGGTATTAAACAAGAGACATCAACATGTGACACAATTATAACATAAACTTCATGAAATGGAGAAATACAGAACTAAAGCCTAATCTGCTAACCATTAAACCACCCTCTCTCTCTTCTTCTTTTCCTATAAAACTAAAGCCTCAACTCTTTAATTTCTCACAAACAAACATAAACAGAGTTAAAGTCAAAATTAATATCTAAGATATTTCATGCATATCTTGAATATTCATAGAGTTGCATAAACAACGTAAATACTGATTACAGCAACCTTACCTGAATATGCATTGCACACACTCTGGGACTGGCAGTAATCATCTTCAAGTTGTCATCCCATCCAAGACCACTTTTGTTTAGTAGAGTTTGCACTGTATTCCATGTGCTTCTTAGCGTTTTAAGATGATTCTCCACATGCTTAGGAGAACAGTCCATTCCTAATTGTTCATTAGTGGCATTCGAAACACGATTGAATGAGATAACCTTAAACTGATTGGTTGATTTATTTCCCTGCTTCACTTCATCAGCTAGGATCTCCAACAGCAAATATTCCATTGGCTTTGACCACCTAAACTGCTTCTCTCCTTTTTTGCCCATTATTTACTCCGGTTGAAGAGTACCATCTGGTGGTTTTATAAGGATAGGGTAGAGCTTCAAAACTGCTTGAAGTACCGTGTGAAAGCATCGATGAATAGATTCGATTGACCTATAGAAGTGTGATCCAATCTTGCAAAATCGTTCATTAAAACCAACGATCTCTAAAAATATTAATACTTGATCTTGAATAGACATGTTTTTGGTTGAACACAACAAATTATTTCTTCCAAGAGCATTGCATAGTTCATAAAACACATGCTTGCTCATCCTTATCTGTCCTATACAATGAACATCACTTCCATTCAAAATACTATTCATGTAAAATTCCCTTTCTTGATCTTTATTCGTATAAGGTTCTCTAGGAATGCTACTTTGATTATTATAGGCTACATTAATTGCAACTCCGAAAGCTAAAACAGATGTAGCTACAGCTCCAACTATTGCATCATCTTCATCTTTGTTTGTCATATCCATCTGTTCCAACGACCAGTATAATGTAATTGCATTTATGATATAACAAAGAAAAGAACATAATAAGAAAATCTGCCAAGGCATATAGCAACGGCAGATCAATTTTGAGGAAATCAATACCAAAACCAGCAGAGAATTAAAATGTCTTTCCTCCAAATTACCCAATAACTCTTTTCAATTTTCCCTTAGAATCCACAAACTAGAATCTAAAATCCTATTTCAGATCTACATATCTCCGGCTCAACTATCAAAGAATGAACAGATAACATTACACACACAGCCAAACTTCACATTATTGTGCACAGTTGCTCATCTCTGTACACCACACACATATTTCAACTGTGCATAGTACAATGAAACACATGCTTGCTCATCCTTATCGAAAGCAAAAGGCCACAATTCATAGATTTACCAAAAAATATCGAATCCAATGCATAAATTCACCAAGTAAAGTCAAATTCAAACACATGAGCAAGTATTTCAGCAGAAAAGCAAGTGAAAGATGAATATTTTGAAGAATTATTGAAAGCATACCTTCGAAATTCTTACAGGAATATGAATGAGAAGAACAACAATGGAAACCCTAAATTTGGAGAGGAACAAGCTGGAAAAATACTGGAGAAACAGCGCTCCTTCACTACGTTTGAGGGTGGGCAAGGGCGTAGGCTGGGGTGAAATTCGCTTGTGTTGCGCGTCGACTTCTTTTCCGGAAAATGATTTCCGCAGACTTGTTACGGAAGTCGTTTTCCGCTGATTAGGAAAATGTTTTCCCAACATTTTGTTGCAACCAAACAAAAGAAAATAGGAAAACATTTTTCTCCATACCAAACACACCCTAAATGCTGAAAATGTGTTATACAGTTAACCAAATTACCATAAAACCTCATTGTTACCATATAAAAAAAAAACAAAAAAAACCATCATATACTCTTTATGTATTCTCAATATGAAACTAAATTGATGATACAGTCTTGATCTTGTAATGTCAATTTTGGTTTACACATATCCTACTGGTGAAAACAGCTAAACTTTGCTAACTAGAATGAGCAGGTCCAGCCTTGTAAGAAGAAAAAAAGAAACTTGTTGAAAAAAAAAGAGTGAGGATCCGAGTCTGGTCTTAGAGACTGGTGCTTTTACAGTTAACATGATACAAGCTAGCGTTTATTGCATATGGTCTGAATGATTAATTCATAATCTTGTACGGGAAGATCTAACCTTGACAGTTTGCGACAAACTGCTCAAGTTGCAAACCTAAGTTCCTTATTTGGACAATTCTGAAGTCTTAAGACATCTGCTGAAAGATTTTAGTAAGGATAGTTTAGTATAGTTCTGTTCCCCTGTCAGTGAGAATCAACTTCAAAGCTCCTTAATAGTTATCTTCTATAATATCAGAATTGAGAACTGATTATTATTCTATTCAAGGAAGGAGCGGGTTGCGGAAGTCGTTCATGTGATACACCCATTGAGATGAAGCCCATTTAAAGTTGTACACTCAAGAGCCAAAGCTTGAGCTCAGTTTCTTTATGGTCAAATGCATTATTAACTTATCTCTTTTAAATATATGTAATTACATAAAATAGGTTTGTGGTAATATATTTTGACTATTCAAAATACAATTTTCTTGTTATTCATGTATAAAGATTACTAGTTATTCATATAATAGATTTAGTGTTACAGTCTAGGTAAATTATATTGAATGTTAGAAGCTAAATTCTTAAAATGCATTTATTTGAAAATGTCAATTTCTCTAATAAATATATAACTTGAGCTCAATTGTGACTCGAACTTGAGCTTTGCTGAATTCAAGCCTAGTTAGATTGTGTACTTGTCCCTTATTCCAGTGAGATAGAACTCGGCTATTTAATGTTCCGGTCGAGCTCAAAATGTCGAGAACTTGACTTGGCTTGATTTCTTTATAACACCTCCAATTCCTTTTGTCATTAATAATGGGAATAAGCAGCAATTCTTCCGTATTGAGCTTCATATCCTGTTTTTTTTTTTTTTGAGGTTACATTTAATTTGATGTTCTAATTAGTCACTTGAAAATTTCTTCTTTTTGGGTACATCTTCTTCAATATGATGACCTGATTCCCATGCTAATGCTTAATTTTTTAATTTTTATTGTTTTGATCTTCTGGTGCAGTTGACTCTTCGCAGGGTCATGGACACTGCCAAACAAGTGACTAAATCTGGGAACCTTGATGAATTCTCCATGGTCCTGTTAAATAACACGCTTTCACTGCCTTTGGGCATTTTGCTTATATTATTATTCAACGAGGTGGACTACCTTTCTAGAACGTGAGTTTTGGTTTCTTAAAGTAGTAATTGTTTTCCTCAATTTTTTATTTATCTCGTCCGTAAGTGGTTGCCTTTCTCTGACCATACACATTGCATGCCTCATGCCTATTGTTAAAACCTGTAATAGGTAACTGTTGGTGGATTGATGTCTAGTTGAAAGCCAATGGTGGCCTGAATTTTCTTAATCCAACTTCATAAATGTAATTCTATAATGGTTGTTGTAGAAGTTGAAAAAGCATAACTATACCAGTACAGATATAATTGATAACAATTGCTAACTATGTCAAATTTGAAGAGGAAGAAGGGAGATTTTCATATTTTGTCAAGTCTCTAGGAGTCATTTTTAATCTTCAGTTCTATATATTGACAACAACAGCCCCACAGACTCAAAATGTTATAAAATATAACTGACTTAATAATAGATGAGGCCTTGGAGCAACGGTAAAGTTGTCTCCATATGACCTATAGGTTATGGGTTCGAGTCGTGGAAGTAGTCACTAATTCTTACATTAGGGTACATTGTCTACATCACATCCCTTAAAGTCACCGGACCCTGCATAAATGTGAGATGCTTTGTACAACATGCTGCCCTTTTTTCCCACCTAATAGCAGATTTCTCTGCTGCTCTTTATCTGCTGAGCTGTTCCCCAAAAATTACCTAGTTGGGCATAAGCCATCTATCTACCCATATGTATGCAGTGTTAGTTGTGCAATTACTAATTCCTTTGTGCTTCTCTCTTCGAGGATTGTTGTGCAATTGGTTGCTGTTATATCACAAGTGAATACTGTTTCATTGCACATTGAAGATTTTGCTACGTGTATCTTTATCTGCAGACCACTGTTACAATTGCCAACATTCTGGTTGGTGACAACCTTTAGTGGATTGTTGGGCTTAGCAATTAGCTTCACATCCATGTGGTTTCTTCATCAAACAAGTGCAACTACTTATAGGTATGGTTCTTTTCATGTGAGTTCATTATTTCATTTTTCTTTGAGTACTCTGATGTAAACATTTCCCTCTTCGATTTTTCTTTAACTTTTGGTTTCTGCAGTCTTGTTGGATCACTAAATAAGATACCTCTCTCTGTTGCTGGTATTTTCCTTTTCCATGTTTCAACAAGTCTGGAGAACTCTGCCAGTATATTATTTGGTGAGGGTTTACTCTTTCTCTTTACCTTAGTACCTTTCTTAATCAAAGATTACACTTCAATCCCAAGTAAGTTGGAGTTGGCTATATGAATACTCACTGTCCATATCACTTCATTTAAGCTGTAATCTCCCCTCATTTATCCAGACTTGGGAGTTGAGAAAAAAAGTGTGTTGCATTTTGCAGGGCTCTTGGCTGGAGTATTTTTCGCCCGAGCAAAGATGCAGGATAAATCTCAAACTAGATCCTGAATGTCAAAACTAACACCCTTTCCTTTGTAAATTATGTCTTGTCTTGAATTGTAGAGCTTGTTGTATACTAAAAACTATGACATGATCAATCAATTCAAGAGATAGATCAAGATTTTCATTCATCTAGAACCTGTCTATTTTGATTTTAACCTCTTTACTGTGCATTTTTGTATTTTACTTATTCCAATTGATCATATGATAAGAATGTGTAACCTCTGAAACCAGCATCACTCAAGTCTTCAAGGAGTTTTAAATAGATAAAAGCTCTGATTACTGTGTTTAGATAATAAGGGAGTATAGTTTTTTACTGTTGAACATGAAAATGGAAATATGAACAAAACTGTCTAAAATAACTTATTATTTCAAACAATTATTTATCAACTACTAAAAAAGTCAAGGGTTGAAGCTGCAGATATAAGAATATTAACATACATTACTCAGTGATATGATAGAAGTTGCCATCCAAAACAAAAGGCTTAAAATACCAAAAGTGACTCACTCCAAAATAGAGTTTGAAAACAAATCAAAAGAAGATCTATAATTCACAACATCATACTCAATGTAATCCAACAAGTGGGGTCTGAAGAGAGTAATATATACGCAAACGTTACCCTTACCTTTGTGGGGTAGGGAGGTTGTTTCCGATAGACAAAAGAAGAGCTATAAAGAGAAAAATGATACATTACAAGATTCTTTGAGGACTAGATGCATCTTTTTTGTTTGCCTAGAATGTCAAAATTATACAGAAAATCAAGTTTTGATGGCAATTAGAGCTTTTTGCGTCGTTCACAGAGTAATATTGTGCTCCTTAAACTGTATAGTTTTCCAATCAAATGGAGCTGAAGAAACTCCGTTCTCAATTGCCAACTCTAGTGATTAGTTGTAATCTCAAATATAACTCCTTCAAGATTCTTGATAATACGTCGAGTCCCAGAAACTTCATTTATCTGCAGACCATGCCGAATTGCTTCATTGATGACCATAGCATCCATGCTGCATAAGGAATGACCGTTTAGGCTCACAGAACAAAATGCATCAAGAATGAAATGAAAATGACTAAACATGTCAACAGTTCTCAAGATTAACACTTCTGCTGTCAAGTATGGACACCTAGACGATACACATGCACCATTGCATAGCATTAGTTGAAATAGCAGGAAACATATCTAAATGACCCTCCCAACCTTAAGAGTAGTTCAAGATTTGGTCTAGAAACTCATGTGAGATAGCTAAGTAAAATAATGCAGCAAAGCTATTGATTACAGAATCCTATGAATCAAGCACAACAAATTCTCTCTATCTCCTGTTCAAGCACAACAAATTTCTGCATCTCCTCCATCTACAATTCTTTTAATTACAATTATTTGTTTTGATATCAATGGGATACAAGATTGTTTGCTGGCTACTTAATATGCATTTTTATTGAGAATGAGAGAATCTATCTAATTAAGCGGGGATGATTTGCTTCATAGTACTAGTTCCTCTTCCAACACATTGGTTAACAACCTGTACAAGAATAGCGATCAGCACTTCCTAACAAAGCTATACCATTTCACATGAATTATCTTTTGATACCTGATCATCAAAAGCTAAGAGTGGATTATTACTAATAAAAAGAAGATACTCATTACTTTTTTTCAGATGCTAGTTGAAATTTTGTTGAATAAGATGGGACATATACTAGTATGCATTTTCTAGACAATGAGAAGTCTATGAGTGAAACTTGCAGCAATAATTTCTTGAATATCATTTCCACATTTGGGAGTTATCCACACATTCAACTAAGTCCTTCAAAATCTTGCAGCCAACACAATCATGATCAAAATAACCAAGCCAGTGAAGCCACTTACACTTTTGCTCGTGAAACATAGGCCAAAATAAATTTGCATTTCTTCTGGTCGCGATCTCTAAGTAGCAGCTCAACAGTATCAAAAAGCAAAGGAACATTTGCCTGCTGAAAACTTAAAGTTTGTCAAGGGATACACTATTCTTTCTAGACTATGATATTCCAAATGAGGATAAAGTAACAAAAACTAAGTCTATAATTCAATCATTTGTCAGTTAAGACAATCTAGTTGCTACTAGGTTTCAAATGTAGATCAGTTGATTTGACAACAGGTTTCTTCAGGTGCCAAGACAAGAGAACCAGAATACTTATCTGACTTTAAAAGACATCCAAGGAGAGAATGATATTCATATCTTATAGGCCTAATGAATTGGAATTTTTTAATATTACTGAAATGAAAGGAGCTAGTTCATTACTGCAAAACATTTCCAGATACATGGCATCCAATCTGAAAGACAATTTCCAACCTCAAAGACTCAAAGAGGAATGGGTTAGTTCATCATAGGCTGGCAATTGGCAATTTGGCATGATGTTGTTAGCTTCAAATTAAGTCAACACATAACAAAAAGAGAACCAATTAACGCAGTAGGAGAAAAATCAACTAGGATATAAATGTCAGCTCCAAGGACTAAATCAAATCCTTCTGGGTGCTCCTGTAATATGCAATTCAGCTGATCAGAGCTACCCCATTCCAGCTTCTCAGCTTTTAATTCTGCATCAAAGATAAGTTAATGAGACATGGCATTATCGAAAATGGCATTTGATTCCTCAATTGTTCACACACCTGTACAACACATAGAATCATCTGAACATTCCTGCAGCTTTATGTTTTTCTTCAGAATCTGGAATGAGAGAAATATATTAGAAGGTGAACTTGCAACACATTCCTCCAGCAAAATTCAATTGCTCAACCTTGCCTTGAGAACTTCATCATTATGATCTGTCATCACTACTCCACGACAGAATCTACTGCAGAGTACTCCAGTTATACCTGTAAATAGGATGCAATCAACTAATTTCATCTTAAATAAAATAGAGAAAGAGAAATGATATGGAAAGTAAAATAAAAACAAGTACACACATGGTTGCCTTGGGAGAGGAACTATACGGTGTTATTAGAAGTTACAATTGTGATAGTTTAGGAACTTAATTCATGTCTCCCGTCAAAAGAGGCCTTTAAGTTACATAGTCTCTCTTACTTTGCTCATTTCCACACTTCAATCTTTTCCTTGGTTTATTGAAGAAGTTCTCTCTCCCAATAGTCTAATCCACATATAAAGGTTTATTCTGAATCAACTTATATAGTAATACCGACTGAAAATATCAAAATATTTGCAAGAATTTGTGGTAATGTTGAACTCAATGAACACCTTAAGACAATTAGGCCCCAGACAGTCTTTGAAGTAGAAGCCAGTTCAAGTAAAGCTTCAGAGATCAGGCTTTGAGTAAAGAAGAGGAAGAGGTCCATCACATATTTCACATCAGAATAAAGGGACAAAAGCTATAATGGAGCAAGATCAGTTACCCACTTTATAACATCAAAACTGTGGCTGAATTTTCTTATGTGAACATTTCGTCTTCCGTGTATGTTCCTTATCTCTCTCATCAGAATGGAATGATCCTTTTGAGGTTGCATATTTTTCATTGACCAAGTATGTTAATCAAGATCTTAAGCAAGCACCCAATATGATCTTATATGTGAACAATTCCCTTTCTTATATCATTTTACAATCTTAAACTTCAAAGGAAATAATAGGTGGACATGTTATGCTTCTAGTACTATCTAAGACTCTAAGCCATGTCTTTTCTTCTACTCATATCTCATTAATTTGGACATGACTTTCATGTGATTTCCTCGAGTTTCCATCTCAGCCAAATAAGTTCACAACAGTTAAGAAAAGAACCATCACTCAAGGTGAAATGTTTCTCTTGGTTGGTGTATAAAGGGGCTTGTCTTACACAAATTAACCTTCAAAGAAGAAGTATACAACTTTGCAACAGATGTGTTTTGTGTGAAGGGATGCTTGTGGACAACAACCATCTCTTTCTTCAGCGAATTGAACTCTCAGATTTGGGACTTTGTTTTAATAATAATGACTAAACAGAAGACGACACATAAATATATAAAAATTGATTGTGGCTTCGGGAATGATACTAACCAACACCAGAGCCTAATTCAATGACAGAACATCCTTGGAGCATGTTAGCATTCTGTGTAAGATAATCATTCATCAGCACTGCCCCAGGCCACACCAACTGTCCTGTCAAATCAAAATCAGCTGTTCCACAGATAGTCAGCCTACAGTTATTATATTAGGTAATATTAATGCAAGTATCGGGATACCAAAAATTATTGGAGGAATTAAAAGTAAACAAATCAAACTAAGAAAAGCTTTTGGTAAAATTTGGTTTTGCAGTGTTAGGTAAAATTCTGCAAATGGAATGGGAGAGAGCTAACAAACTATTTGCACGCATTCATCAACTACACATCATCATTGGTATATTCAGACTGGATTATATCTGTGACTCTTAATCTTTTGAGAATATCCCCCCCACCCCACCCCACCCTCACCTCATTAAGAGAAGTGTTTCCTTTTGAGAAAGTTATACTCAGGATTAAGTAATGGGTGAAATATAGATTTGGCTCAGCCCGTTCACTTTTTAGCAGATTTTTAGTGCATTTTGAGATATCCACATGAAAAACCAGTACACATGTCTTATCTATTTCTCATGGATACACTGAGGCAACCAATCCTTGCACCAAACTAAGTTAGCTTCTCAATGTAGTTTTCATTTTCTAAAAAAGGCTTAGGTTTTCTCTTAGTTAAGATAAGATAGCCCATCCATCCTTGATTTTTCAATGCTCAATTCCTTATCAATCAAAAATCCATCAAGTTGAAGCCAAGAGATCCGGAAAGCTACCTAAATGAAGAGCGACAGCTGAGAAACACATATTATTTGGAGGGCCAGCAGCAATGCAACCCATTCTCAGAATGATATATTGCCTAGACACAACCACATATCAGCTATGCTCAAGGTGAGATTTCCAATAGGTCAGGTCAGGTATTTGAGGAAGTTTTCGACAGCAAAAGGAACACTGAGTTTTCAGATAAACAAGCATAACAGAAACAGAGCTATCCATGAAGCTACTACTTCCTTGACTGATTAAAGTACAACAAACCCAACTAACTTTGCTTGCAAAGAAAGAAAAGGATATGGCAACAAATAAACAGCTGTTTCTCATAGTGTCATAAAGTTCCAAGGATTCCTAACCTTAATTACCCATCCTGTTAACTATGGTAGTGCTAGTCCTTATAACACTGGTTTTGATAAGTAGAGGACCCCAATGAGGAAGCAACCCCTACCTATGACAGAAAACATAAAATATTTCTTTAAGCATGTGTAATAGATCAACCTAATAATTCTGTATGTCACAATAGAATTAGCATTCTCAATAACTCCCTCTCCCTTCCCCCTTTGTGCCACACAAGCCCTCCTAACCTAGAAAACATGAACATTTGCTCCAGTTCTCTCCATTTCAAGATCTCATATAGTTTAATTTGTTGGAGAGTGTTTGGTAGTCTGTGTAGAGAGAAGAATGGGGATGGTTTTTTGTTGCCCAACAAATGAGAAATGAACCAATGATGATATTTTACTAGAAACAACAACAACAGCATACCCAGAGAAATTCCACAAATTGGGGTCTAGGGAGGCAAGAGTGTACGCAGCCCTTACCACTACCTCTAAAAATGTCACACACTTCTTAATTTTCTACAAAACCCATAAGGAGATACATGACTTGTTTCTTTTATTCAATCTATTATATAATTATACTCACATAATTCAGTAAAAATTGCATTAAAGCACCCTCTTTGTCCTCCTAAAACAAAGAAGAAGAAAAAAAGAAAACTTTTTTCCATTCCCCCCGTGCTAAGATTGATTCTTATATCATCAGTTTACAAGATTGTGAGACAATCCCAAGATCCCACCCCCAAACAGCACTAGTTAGTGTTTTCACAAACTACACAAAGTAAAAATTAAAAAAAAAAAAAGACTTACTTGAAGAAGATTGGAGGCAGTAAAGCTGAAGAACATGAGACCCAAATGTAAAATCTGTAATCTGGTAGCTGCATAGAGTGAACTAAACTCATTTCAGTATACAACAAAGCATAAACTTGTATGTACATGTACATTTATAAATAAAATTTAAAAAAAAGAGAGATACACACTCGTCATTGATAAAGAAAGATTCGTCTAAGCACACTATATCATCTTCTTCCTTTTCTTCTCTACTCATGGTTACTGTCTTCCCTCTTGGCACACAACCGCGCAGTTGCCAAATTCTTAGAAAGCTCTTTTCACTTGAATTTTGTTCTTTTGGACTATGAACCTTCCCTTTCAATGTTCTATTTGATGGGGCTTAGTTTTGAATTTGGGCTAATTTGCAAAAATACCATATTTTAGAAACAAATTAGGAAAAATTACTTGGATGGGTATCTTTTAACAAATAATTACTATTTTAGCTATACTTTTTATTTATTACCATTTTTAGCAATATTATGTCAAATCTGCAATATGTATTAAAAGTGAATTATGTATGCAATATATATGTATTATAATTGTTTTTAAAAATATATTGTGCTTGTTTGGTAAGAAATTGACACATTGTATTATAAGTGTATTAAAATATGTGATAAATATATTATCCATCAATAAAACGTGTATTATATGTGAATAATAAATTGTTCTTTGTAATATGTATTAAAATTGTATTATAAATGTATTAAAAGTGATCAAGTGAGAAAAAAATATTAGTGCTATAAATGGTAATTTTTTTTTAATATTGTATATTTATGTAAGTTTCCCGAGAAATTATTTTGGTGTATTATGTTACCGAGTTTTTGACTAAAAACATCCTTCGGTGTCCTAGGGTACATACCTTTGTTATAATAATGAACAAAAAAAACATTCCTTATCTATGATAAAGATTGCAAATGTTCATCTTATTGTTAGTTTTGTCAAAAATAAAACTCACGGCTACGATCAACATATATGCTAAGTATATGATTTTTATTGGAAATTTCCCTATTTTGAGCTTATTTGGATTGGCTTTGGAAAAAAATGTGACATAAAACACTTATTAAAATGTTGAAACTTATTTTTAAAAAATAAGTAGTTACATATTTGGATAAAAGTGTTTAAATTGGAAAAAATTGTTGATATTGTTGAAGGAAGCTGATGGAACATGTCAAAGGAACAGGTTCGACGAAGCTGACTAACGAGTTAGAGTTAGAGTTACACTAGGACTAGACTACTAAATCATAATTTATGTACAAGTCTATATTTTGTACAACTAAAGCTGATGCAGTCGACTAGGATAAGGTGTAAATAATATATTTGTGTTGTATTAGGATTCCTAGTGTAGCTAGTATAAGACTCCTCTCCTATATAAGGAGTATGTAACTCAACCATTCAATTATCAATACAATCATTGATTTCTCTAATCCTAGTTGTGAGATTTCTACACGGTATCAGAGCAAAAAAGTTTTTCCGCTCTTTAACGTATTAGATCAAAATCACAACAACCACAATATCAAACCGCAATGGCCCCTTCTACCAACATTCTTTCGACCTCTTCACTTTATCATCTTATATCGTCCTTCCCCATTAAACTTAAGCCAACGAACTATCTTATATGGAGGACATAAATGTCTCAATTGATTCAAGTGATGAGATTAACCTACCTCATCACAGAACCACCTAAAGATACATGTTCCACTGGACAGACTACTGAGAAAGCTATAGCAGGCGAGAAGGGTGCAGAAGACAATAACATTGTTGATGACTGGGAGGAGAAGAATGTGTTGCTAAGGAGTTGGATCTCAGGCACCTTGACAGAAGAAAGCATGCACTTGATCGTAGGTTGCTCAACTGCCAAGGAGATGTGGGAATGCTTGGAAAAAGCTTATCTTCAAGCAACAAAAGATAAGGAGTTCCAGCTCAAACAACAACTGCAAAGTGTGAAGCTAGGACCAAAACAATTGACGAATATATTAAGGAATTCAAAGGCATACGTGATGGCCTTGCAGCCATTCACAAGCTTGTAGATAAAGATAGCAAAGTGATTAATTTTGCTAGAGGTCTAGGTCTTAAGTACAAGACCTTCAGGACTGTCATGCTAGGTAAGGCACCATATCGTACTCTTAATCAATTTGTTAATGCTCTCAGGGATTTTGATATGAGGGAGAATGAAGAAGAAGTGCCTCAATAAAACCATAACATGGCATTTTCTGCCCAAAGAGGCAGGGGAAGAGGAAACTACTCTCAAAGAAGAGAAACAATAATTTCAATTCCAGAGGAAGAGGCTTTAAGCCTGCTGGACAAGGAACAAGTTCTTATAACAGCAAAAACGGACCAGGTCCTCAGAACAGTCCTTCAAGTGGAAGTCATGAGAAGAACAACACTGATGCGTGTCAAACTTGTGGTAGGAATAACCATACTGCTCTTAAGTGTTTTTATAGGTGGGATTATTCTTACCAAGCCGCAGATGAGCTACCACAAGCATTGATTGCTACTAATCTACAAAACACTACTGATGACACCTTGTATGTGGACTCAGGAGCCAGTAGCCATATGACACATAACTCAGGTATCATAACTGATCCTAAACGCTACAATGGACCAGATAAAATCATTATTGGGAATGGATCAAAGTTAGACTAACACATGTTGGAAACATATCCGGATCAGGTCTAAAGTTAAAAGAAGTTCTTGTAGTGCCTAAGATTAATAAAAATTTACTCTCAGTTAGTAAGCTTGCAAAGGATAATTGTTGCACTCTTGAATTTGATGAAACTAACTTTGTTGTAAAGGATAAGAAGACAAGGACACTGCTGGCCAAGGGAACTAAAAGTAATGGACTCTATGCTTTGGAAGATAACAATCTATATGTTTTAACTGTTGCACACGATTGGAACACGTCAGACTACATGTGGCATACTAGATTAGGACACTCTAGTTTGAAGTCTTTAAAAGTTTTGAATAGTAATAGTTGCATCAATATTAGTAGTTGGAATAAAATGCCTACTGTTTGTTCTAGTTGTCAGTTGGGAAAGAGTTGTAAACTTCCATTTGGTTTGAGAAATAAAATTGAGAAGGAACCTTTATTGAAAATCCATTGTGATTTATGGGGACCTGCTCTTGTCAAATCTTCCCAATATATGAAATACTATGTCGTTTTTGTTGATGATAACACGAGATATATATGGATTTATCCACTGAAAAAGAAATTTGAATTTTTGGGGTCTTTGTAAAATTCCAGAAAATGGTGGGAAAACAATTTTCTAAAGAGATTAAGATTTTTTAGTGTGATGGAGGTGGTGAGTTTATCCAAACAGACTTATAAGGCATTTGGTAGATTATGACATTGTGAGACATATTTCATGTCCTAACACACCTGAACAAAATGGAGTTACAGAGAGAAAACATAGGCATATTGTGGAGACTGTCTTAACTCTACTACTTCATGCTAACCTACATTTGTTTCTATGGATTGAGGCTTTCCTCACTGCAATATTCCTAATTAATAGACTGTCTTCCTTAGTCCAAAAGACGGTGACTCAATTTGTTAAGTTGTATGGGGAACAACCTGATTACAATAGCCTAAAAGTGTTTGGGTGTAGATGTTTTCCATATATCAAGGGTAGAAACAAGTTCAGTCCAAAAACTTACCCTTGTGTGTTCATAGGGTACAATAACTTACACAAAGGATATAGATGTGATCATCCACCTACAAGGAGGGTCTACATATCCAGACATGTTGTGTTTGATGAAAACACAATACCATATGTGTCTCCAAATCAATCTCAGACTAACATTGATGTCTCACCTCACCTTGCTACTTTTGTTGAATCTTTCTCTAAATTGCAGGCACATGATAATCCTAATTTAGGAAAAGTACGGGCTACTAGTACACACGTTAATGGTGATAATGTTATTACTACTCATATACTCCTTGATGATGAAAGTACCATTGACCTCTAAGGTGCAGGATCAGCTGCTGAGAAACAGGTTGAATGTGATGATCCATACAGTAGTATTGAAGCTCCAGCTGCAAATTTTGGATTTGCTAATGGCAGTGAGGAAAAGGTTGCACTTACAGGTCCAGTCAATGACCATCATCAAACAAATACTTTAGTTGATGTACCGGTTGACCATCAATCTGACAGTGCTACACTCCAGTCAACTACTTTGGTTGATGTACCAGTTGAGGTACTTCCTGCACCACAAGGGCATCATATGATCACTAGACACAAGGCGAGGAACACCACTTATCACTTGTTGCTCGCAACAACAAAGACATTCTGAGGGAACCAAATACTACTAAGGAATCACTTAAGTCACCTCATTGGCTTGCAGCAATGCAAGAGGAAATCAATGCTTTACACACTAAATTTGGTTGGCTTAAAATGGGTGTTCAAGACCACATTAAAAGTTGTTGGAACAATAGATAGATACAAGGTCAGACTTATGGTCAGGGAATTCTCTCAGCTTGAAGGCATAGACTTTGAAGAAACTTTTTGCCATGTGGTTAAAGCCACAACTATTAAAGTAGTTCTATCCATTGCCATCATCTCAAGGTGGGAAATTCGACAACTCGATGTCAAAAATGCTTTTCTCCATAGGATCCTACAAAAAGAGGTGTACATGAGTCAACCTCCTGGATTTATTGATCCCAAGTATCCTCAACATGTGTGTCTACTTAAAAAGGCATTGAATGGTCTTAAACAAGCACCAAGAGCCTGGTTTAGTACGTTTAACATGCATCTCCTACACCTTGGCTTCATCTATAGTAAGGCAGATTCTTCATTATTTACATTGCAAGCTCACAAAGGTACCATATTTCTCTTGTTATATGTGCATGATATTATTATCACAGGTAGTAATCCATCACATGTCTTCGAGTTAGTTCGCCAACTTCGGAGAGAATTTTTCATGAAAGATCTTGGTCCTTTACACTTCTTTCTAGGAGTAGAGGTTAAGTATTTTGATGGGGGTATCCATTTAAGTCAGAGTAAGTATGTTGCTGAGTTGCTGGACAAGACTGGAATGGCTTTGGCAAAGGCTATAACCAGTCCTTTGGCTCAAAAACATGGTTTACATGAAGCTGTGAGAAGCCTGGTTGATGCATCTTTTTTACAGAATGATAATAGGGAGTCTTCAATACTTGACACTCACAAGACCGGATATTACTCATGTTGTGAATTTAGCAAGCCAATTTATGCAAAATCCAAACAGTGAACATCTTCAAGGGGTGAAAAGGATTCTCAGGTACATCAAAGGTACTCAACACTTTGGACTCAGAATTATTTCACAATCACCATGTAGGTTGTATGGATACTCA